AAAAAAAAAAAAAAAGATTATATCAGAATCATCCTTTTATTAGCTGTCATAAAGATTTTGCTTTCTTTTATATTATAGCTAATTGCAACCAAAACAAAATCCGATAAGTGAGTGAACAAACAGGTGTTGTTTCCTTCATTTTCAGCTGTTACTTCTAGTAGTTCAGCCTCTAGGCACAAATTCAGAACAATGAATCCAGACATTTGAAGCATTTATTCTGGAAATAATTGAGTCCTGGAAGAGTCTTGTTTAAAAACTTTTCCAAACAGAACTATCTTTAATGCCCTGCGAAAACAAATGTAAAAAAATGCATAAATAATTGGATTAAATGTAGAATTTAAGTAACCAAACCAAACCAAAGCATCAATGAGAATAGGAGGTATTATGTAGTTAATAAATGGATTGATTGCTGTAAAGAAGAAGAATGGACTCCAGCATATAAGAAACACTCCCATCACTATGCCCAGTGTCTTCGTAGCTTTCCTCTCTCTGCTGCTTGAAATGTGGTGCTTCGTTTCAAATTGGATCCTTTTTTGGCTAATGGCATCGATGGATTTTGCTTGTCTCTTGGCTATAGAGTATATTTTCCTATAGACGTACAGCATAACAAATCCAGGGATGTAAAAAGACACCACAGAGGCCACAACACCTGAAGTTTCACTAAAAAAAACAAAGCATCCTCCTGTACAATGGATATGATTATAAACCTCTTCTGCCCCTCTCAAGTTCAGCTCTAGAAAGATCATCCCAAAAGCAAAAGCTGCAGGAACAGTCCAACTTACGAATATCATGACCAGGATGACAAAATTATTTATCTTTGATTTATATCTTAGAGGATCACAAACAGCATAGTAACGATCAACAGATATGAAGGAGAGGTGGAAGATGGAGGCTGTGCTCAGCATTATATCTATGCTTGTGTGGATCTTGCAAAAGAACTTCCCAAAATACCAGCAGTGCTCAACAGAGCGCATCATGCTGTACGGCATGATGAAGAAACCCAGCAAAAAGTCAACGGTAGCCATGGAAAGTATCAGGAAATTGGTAGGCATATGGAGCTGCTTGAAGTGTGCTATGGAGATGATAACTGCCAGATTTCCAACCACTGTAGCAAGAATAATGAAAGCCATGATGACATACATGGAAACGCGGATGCTGTCTGACCAGGTGCTTTTGGTGCAAGAGTTATTTACGGATTCACAACACAGCTGCATTCTTCCTGAGAGCTCAGATCCATTGAAGTATACGGGATGTGGCATGGGGACTGGTTGTCTTAACCAGCGGAGATACATTTGTTTGTTTGTTTGCTTGTTTGTTTGTCTGATTCTTTCTTTCTTTGGTGAAAATACTGCACAAGGAGCTGGAGAGATAAAATAAATAAATAAATAAATGCCAAATAATTAAGGATGAAGTTATTTTGTAGTTACACTTTAACAAAATTACACCATTATCATTAGACTTCCCTAAAGTGGGAATCTCATTTGATTAGATAAATTGTATAATGAGGGGTCCTCGTACGAAAATAGCAGTAGGTCCCAGAGACCTACAGTGGAGGATGTCTTGATGAATATGAATAGTCAACCCCATCACAATAGCATATCCTTTCTGCGAGTATCTCTTTTTCAAAAGTATTTCATAAAACAATTCAAGCACTTATCAAGTCATATCCATTGCCACAAGATATAATTTTCCTCTAATTAATGGAAAAACAGAATTACTGTGAAAAAAGAGATAACAGTAGCCTATGCTATTCTGTAATTATCATTAGGGCATAATATGATTGCTTAAATTGGAAAATTATTGACTGAGAAATTCAGCTGGTGCCATTGGAAAATTATTGACAGAGAAATTCAGCTGGTGCCAATATAACCCATTTGCTTTGAGACTGCTGTGTGTGTTTATTGCAGACAGAACATAAAAGAACCATTTATTTTTTCCCTTATCAGAACAACTGTTATGACAAGCACACCGAGAAACATTTAGAAACTAAATGGAAGCTCAGTGAGGATGATAAACTACGTCTTGCCACCCTAACAGCTGCCCCTGACAACCTGGGTTACACAGGCAGATTTCCAGGCAGTGCCAGTGTCCGGCTGTGGGAGCCCGAACACCTGGGTGAAGCTGCCTCCAAGATCCACGCTCAGCCACACAAGACATGTGTAACCCAAATGGATTGAGTGGCTGCTGGGGTGCCTCTTGCTTCCCCTTTTTCTGCCAGCTAATCTTAAACACTACTCTGCTCATCTCCGCTTTGCTATAAATTCCACATTTCATACATCATTTCCTTTGTGTTCCATCAATCTCCTCTTGTTTATTTTCCTGCCTATTATTCTTTCTTTCAACATGTATCAACCCAAGATATAGAAAGCACAGAATAAATCAAACTGGATTTTATGGACTCATATCACCAAATTTAACAGCTGAAAAACTTACCCCCTCCTCCCTTTTTTAAGTATACACATTGGACATAAATATCAAAATTTTAAGTTCATGCACATTGTAAATTTATCACATAGTAGAAATTTTCAGCTTCACTTGTTTTATATAGAAAGAAATTCCATAAATATCATAGAATATGAAGCCAACTGAAAAAAAATAAGGCACTATTTCTACTTTTCTGTTTAAAAGATGAAGAAATGCTATTGCTCTCTGACAGTAAAACTGTTTAGCCTAAATAAATGTAATCTCCCTTAGAATTTTCCTGAAAAAAAAACCCAAACACCTTATTTTCAGGGTCTATTTGTTTTAACAGAAAAAAAAGAAACTAAAACCAAAAAGCAGCAACCTGAGATCAAGCATGTGGCTTTGAAAATAAGAGCAAAATAAATCAAAACTCATGTGGCAAATTCTCCAGATGAACTCGAGACTGAAAGATGTTTTCAAAAGAAAAACTGAACTCTCCTTTTCCATAATTAATTACAAAAAAAAAAAGAAAAAAAAAAGAATGGATTTTGCATTAATCAAAACCTATGGAAATATATTTTTAAAGTTCTTTCTTCCTACCTTTTCCTCTTCATGCTGCATAGAAGTCCGGTTTTGGTGCTCATTTGCCCTCTGCTTATTCAATGGCACTCTTGCTCTTAAAGATCTCCTCAAAAGGCAGCTGAGTCCTGGGAAACATAGGTTTGAGGAAGACAGGCACTTAGCCCTGCAGGCCCAGAGCAACCTCCAAAGCTCCCAGGATATTGCTCAAGAATGCCAGATGTAACAAATAATGTTTTTCCTGTAACGAATAATGTTCTTCCCCTTTTGTCTCAAGAACAGCTGTTAATGGGAACAGTGCCCCAAGCTGCTTGTTCTGTTAGCCACTTAAGAACAAAATAATGGCCGTGACATTGCTATTTGTTCAACAGGTCTTATTTATAGGTAAACTGATTTAATTTGAAGTACGTTTATCTGTTTAATTAAACCATGTCATCACCTTGTAAGCAGCCCAAGATTATCTAGGAACAGAACAAAAACAACCATGCAGTCTGCCTTTCATAAGCTTCCAAAATATAACCAAGTACGTAAGCAAAGGTAGCATGTAAGTGTTTCTTGAAAGGGGTATTGTGTACAGAGTGACATGATGTGCTTTTACTAGTCTACTTACTGCTCTTCTAACAAACAGGTTTAATGTAAAAGCCTAATCTGTTAACAGCTGTTTGCAAAATACAGCTACTGAAAAGATGTTTACTTTAAATACCTGCTATTGGCTGTATCACAGTCACAGAAGTGGAGCATTAATCTCCTGCTCTACAAAGGACCACGCAACCTTTTAAAACGGTGAAGCTGCTGAACATCATAGGCTATGAATATGGTAAGCATCGGCTAAAGCCACTTCTGCCAGGTGCCTCATGGGCATATGGAATCAAGTAGGCTGAGATACCGCTTCTTGCGAGCTGTGCTGCATTGCCTCAGTTAGCTCCTTCATGGTATTATGAACCAGAACAATCCTTTCCCATGGTAGGTTTGGGCAGGAGGGAGAAGAGCTGATACCTTCAGCAACCCCATCGCACAGGCCCCGGTAGCCCCACCTGGGTCCCTCGCTGGTACAACTCAGTCTACCTGGCAGCACGAGGCTGCAGAGCTCCACTAACCAGAGCTGCTGAGAAGGTCTAGGGAGCTATGCAGGTACTATAGCTTTATGTGATGCTGCACATTTTTCTGCTTCCTGTGACAACCTTCTCAAAACCCCCTTAGGAGAAGATAAAAGTCGGTCAACAAGCCGTTGACTATGGACTGGTTAATGAGCATTTCATATCCACACCAGTAATGATCTTAAGCAGGCCAAACCAATCTACCTGAACATTG